TACTTAGTATTAAATACTTTCCATATTTCCTGTAATAAATAAATTTTATTATTTAACTAGAAAACATGCTTATAAAAAAAATATATTAGTTTCTAATTTAGAGCTAAAATAAGTTTCCTATAAAAAATATATATAACAAAGACACAAAGTCTATTTTAATAGAGTAAAACTATTTAGTTGAGAGGTTTTTTGATTCTTTAGTCTAATTCCTGCATGTTAACAAGTATAACATAAGAATACTTTGTCTCACAATCCTAGATAATGATAATTGGTAAATAAACAACAAGCTATATAAAATACATTATCGTACTATAGAGCGTTTAAGTGAAGCCAGAAGATTATGACAAAGCTAACTGCCAGTTTATCAGAACTAGTCTATAGTTGAGATCCACTGGTAATCTCTGACAACGGTAGACCCTTCATAAACCCTACATTCTAGGTTTCCTTAGACTAAGCGAAATTTATAAAAACTCAATCACGATAAAAACAGTTCAAATAGCTTTCAAAGATATTATTTTCGTTTTAATATTTAATAAAATTTTTCTTCAAAATTTAATTATTAAAGCATCTATAAGATGACCCTCAATGAAACATATTTTTATCGTTTGTATGTGTGCTTTAATAAAATATTTTTTCCTATGTCACAATGTATTACGGAGTTATTTAAATATATATGTCTCTTTATTTTAGCTAAGTCGTTTAGTGAAACATTAGAGGTGAAATTATTATATTGCTACGTTTATGACATGTATGTATGTATTAATTTAGTATTTTCATTTTAAGGCAGAGCTTTGTATATATTTTTGTAACACGCACGAAAGTGAATTGTTTCATTGAAAAAGATCATATAGTAGATAGACTACTTCTTCGCCTGCTAGACTTGATATCAGAAAGACGATTCGTTCTTAGAAACAAGTACGTAATAAATTAGTTATGATCCATAGTACTATGAAGATTACTTATGATCTTATTAGCAACCAATACACAATGGAGCAGGTGGTCAATTGATGTAGTAGCCATCGGCAACCAGTCAACCCGGACCAATTGATGGCAATTAAAACATTGACATCCACTTGAACCGTCTCGACTTGCAATCAAAATATTTGAACCGATCGTCAAAATAACTTGTTGGTATGCAGATAAATAATTATATAGAAAAATTCTTAATAATAATATTATATCAACAGCTCGTATAGCGTTACGTGTAAAATTTCCCGTGAACTGACGCACTTGCTCGATAAAATATAATGACGTCATGAAGTACTTAAAAAATAACGCTTTAATTGTTAGTTCCACGGCGATTTGATATACAGTCCACTTAACAATAATACAGTCAATGTAACATTGGTTTCTGATATTGATTTTGTCGTATCAGTTACTTGTTAGAACATAATGGTTTTCTGAGTAACTATAAAAAAAGTTTTACGTAAAATATTTTTTCGTTTCGTAGTTTGAGCTCTTTAGTCTAGTATTGTATTGTATATAATAACAAGCCCAGATCTATGATTGTATCTCGACGTCAGCTTTATTGCGATTTACAACAAGTAGCAGCATCCGTTAGAGATCCGCTCACCAATACTGAAACCCACTTACTGCATTGTCAACAATCTATACAAAGAACCACCCAATAGCTGTACAATGTTTTAAATTAAAGCATTGTGAATCTTTGGACAGATCAAAGACAGTCTTTATTTATAATATGATATTCACTTCATTCAAGTTTCCTTAACATTTCAGACATGATAGTTTATTCATTAAATTTATTTATAAATGTAGATTTTAGTATATGGGTATATGGGTTTAATTAATCATGTAATTATTAAGATCGTAAAAGGTAAACAACACGTTATTTCACTTGTAATTTCTGTATAGATAGTAGGTAACTACTTGGACCACAATAAAACTAATACGTATTAATGAATAATTAATTTTGTTTCCACGCAATGATTCAATATTCATCGTTTCTGTGATATACGATATTATTTTCGAAAAAGGATATACGTTTCGTTAACTATTAAATTCTACATAACCAAAACATATTATACAAAAAATTTCGAAGGTATAAAATCTTCAATAAAGTCTAATAATATATTAACTTAAACATAAGTTTTTGTTTAACTACGCGTTGCTTGCTTAACTTTACATTTTAAAATTTATATACTTTATTTTTCAAAATTATAAATCCTACAATATTTATGATAATACTTAAGCTTTTACATCGATAAGTGCTTGAAGTTTTCACAACAATAAATTTGTGTATTAAATAAATAATATATTAGAAATAATTATTTGTGTATATAAGTATACATAATAGATTACGAAACGCATTTAAATTCCATATTAATCAAAAGAATCAGTATGATACGTGAAAGTCTGATTTAAGTTGCTACTCGACCCCGATGAATGCAATGCTGTTGTTTATTTTGACCGTCCTGTTATCACTCGCGATGTAATGTATTATCAATTAAAACTGAATGCCTTTATTGATCTCAGCTAGCGACTAATCACACAACTACAGACGAGATGTATTAAAAATAATCAATTACAGACTTAAACGTCGAGTTAATGAAGGTCAGTGGAATATCTAAATCCGTTCAAAGTTATAACTTAGTAACAAATCTATGGTTGGATAAATGATGCTGATAAATTATTAATATAAAATCGTCATAATGAGATGTAAGACTTTCGCGAGTATTTATTTAAAGGAAACTAAAATTTATCGGATTATACTGAGCGTACTTTATTATTGTAAAAAATACATACTCCTGACGTTTCGGGTACTTTTGAAAAAAAAAATAGGTTTTATTTTAATAAACATCATCAGCTTATTGATGCCCAGTGCTGAACAAGGGCTTCTTCTCACATGGAGAAGGCCAGAGCATTTATGACCAAGTTAACTCAACGCGGGTTCGCAATTTTGAATTGTACATATCCGATCATATTTTTTTTAAGCCTAAAAGTATAATTAAGGAAAACATCATCGAGATTCTAGATTAAATTTCCATATTATAAAGTAGACATCAATTATGCATTAATTAAAACAAAAAGCGCAATTATACAAAAAAATCAAACATGTACGTTACGTAATAAATCAATCTTTTACAAATGTATGCAAGTTTTTTTTTAAATATAAAACGCAGTAAATTTATGTAAACGATCTCCTTAGTTTTTATTGTTTATTGTCATCGCGTCTAAGTTATTATCGTAATTTATGGATAAGAAAATGTAATTATCGACATAGCAAAAGTTGATCTATCGAGCCTATAAATTATGTTACATCACAAGATTTTATAATAAAAACATTCTAAAAATGATACAAGTAGATATATAAGTTACCAATATTATTGTAAAGATTTTACAGGTATGAAATCGAAATATCCAATATTTGAAATATCCCATCCGTCATTTTACGGTGATATGAATGGTCATTCATTAAGTCATTGGTGGCCTAGTGGTTAACAGGCCCGCCTCTCATGCATGAGGGCGCGGGTTCGATCCTGGCCCTGGCAAGTACCAATGTGATTTTTCCGAGTCATATGTACTTTCTAAGAGTATTTAGACATTACTGATTAATGCATTCCCAAAAGAGGGTTGATGTCAGGCAGGCAGCCGGTCGTAAAAACAAATAGCCAAAACTATTCACAACATTTAAGGCAGACCCTGGCTAAAGTTAGGAAATTGCCAGAATGGTCATTCATTATCAAAAACACCCTAATTATTCTAATTAATCTGAACACATATTGTATTGTATAGATTTCTAGTATATGTTAAAGTCCACAAGAAATACTCGTTCATGGTTTTAATTACTACAGTAATTTCTGCTTCCTACTTCCTACCGCCTAACGATGATCAGTAAATTAATGGATCATCTTGCGTTATAGCGACAATGATTATATTTATACCAACTTTTGATATTCATTCACAAAAGTAATTTATTTAAAACAGTATTTTAAGGATACATAAAAATTTCTAAGTCATTGACGTAAAGAAGTTTGAGAAAGATTTTATGTCAATTTACCTATGAGACGAGGATGAAATAATACTAATTAAATATAATAAAATCCTAGTTCACAAACGGAGTCTAGGAAAGTAGGTATCTTTTTGTATAAAAATATGGAACAATGATTCTTTCAACAATTGAATAATAAGACATCGTTTATTTAATAATGGAGTGAGTGCCTACGCTTTTATGAATATTAAATATAGATAATTCCGCTGTTTTTTACTAGAACTACTTCAGTGCAAAAAAAGACTACGCTATCCATCTCCTAAACTACAACTAACATATCAAACATCCTATAAAATATAGAATACATAGTTGTATTGTATATAGTCTTAATAGCTAGGCCACTTCAAAAAGAATGAATCCAGGGTGAAAAATATTATGAAGAACAAAATAAAACATTTATTTTACTGCAATTGAAATATCGATTCTCCACATGATGATGATCCACAACTATGACACAGTTTATGATTTTAATAATAATTTATTATGAAAATTAAAAATATTTTCGTAACATTTTATGTTTAAAACCCATACCTATGATAGGAGTTACGGTCAAGTTGATTATACGATAGTTTTCGTGCCGATTTAATTTATTTTTTGTTAATGTATTAATATTTTTATTCTTATACTCCTGTCCTGTACTTCCAACATTGAAAATCATTCAATTCGATATAGTAAATTATATATAATATTCACATTAGCTTATTTTGAATGAACCATCCATCAATGTTTATTATTATGTTGGTAGTGTCCCTTTTGTATAAAATACAAGTTAAGTTATAACCAAATAAGCAAACAGACAAATATGAACGAATGAATTAGTGTTTAAATTCAGTATGGCTTAGTAAGTCTATGGTCATAGTTTTCCAAATATACGAATCGGAATTCGAACGCATATAATTCAGGAAACATATTTTTGTCGCCTCTAATTTTTAATTTCTATAACAATCAAAAATCATCTTGAACCTTTTCTTTCAAATATAAACTTCTTTGTCTGTATTTAAAATTTTATTCATCTAAATCTTATTTGACAGCAATGAAGAAAACCTGTAAATCAGCCATGTTAAACCGCATCTGGCAGGCCAGTCGGAGAGCTGTGAACTTGGAACACTCACCACCACACGTATTTGCATGCAGCCAGTGGCAGAATGGCACCAAACCAGCTACATTCTACCTCATCTATAGGTAATTGGAAAATACACATTCCATATTCTCTTCTTTAGTGACCCTTTTCCTGGAAAGAATCAATAACAAAGGAGTAACATTGTAGCAATAATAACAAACTAAATCAATATTTTAACGTCTACAATATATTTTCCAAAAATAGTTTGGTACCTCTTTTTGTCTAACAAGTAAATGGTTTGATGAAATTGATAAAATCTTCAAATACAATTGCTTCATTACTTTCTTTTTATATTTGGAAAATAATTATACGAAATATATTCAATTTTACAGATGGATAGTATTCCTAACAGTGCTATGTGTTGGTATATCAAGCTTCGCCTGCCAGCGACTCCCTCGTCTTTACGACGGCCCTAAAGTGGAACTGAACTATTTCAAATGGTTCATATATTTCACCAACTGGGGCTATCTGCTAATTATAGTGCAAGCTGGTCTTGCTATCGCAGTAGTACATCGATACCGAGCACAAAAGACTTTCAATATTCGTAAGTATTCTTCTTCTTTGGTTGTTTAGAAAAATGTTAACGTAACTTATTTTGTTATTAGTGTTGACGGAAAGAAAGGGAAAGTACTACTAAAAAAAAAAAAATATTTAAATATTTAATATCTTTTCCCATGAAAATATATGTATTTTGACAAAGAGGATATTACTAGTGCGACACTGGTGTGTATGACATTTACTTTCCTTCTGTCAATATTACATAGGTCAAGCGAAACCGGAAAAAAACTTTAATATTTAAGTTACTTTACGGAAACAAAAGATTGGTGATATATATCAAGTCACTTTTAATAGTAACTTAAAAAATTTAAAACACTGTAACCCTTAAAATGACTAACAAAGAATCATATATTTGTGACATATAGAATCTGAAGCTATAGATTCAGAAGAATCTTATCTACAGCTTACATGATGTCAGCTCTGTGAAAAAAACTTTAAAGAAGAACAAACTTTAATGATATTTTTAAATGAAACAAAATAAAGGGAAGTTAACTTCATTTCCTTTAAACCATACAATTTGCTTGTCAATGACATTAAAAACGCTTTTTAATCTATACATTGACATTTCTAAATGTCAAGTTGTTCAATAAAACAGACAAAATTGCCTACCAATTACAAAGCAATCTGCCATTTAGCAAATTGACGTAGATGTAGCCTAAAATAACAACTAAATAGACACTAATAGAGAGCCGACAAGTAAAACAAATGATCTTAGATTTTAGCAATGTCAAGTTCCTCGCGTGATTCCGTCCGTTACAGTTTTAAATAGTAAAGATTGTGGTCGTTTAAAATAATAAAAAGTAATCACTGTTGCGTGTGACAAAAACGAAAGAAATTAAGGACGCTCTCACAGTGCTCCTTATTTATAAAATAGTATGATTTATTAGTATATGATTAGATATTCATTAACGTTTTTAGAAAATTTTATTTTAGTAAGAATTTTTAAAATATATTTATAAATAAAAATAGTAACACATGAGATAATTATATATTATATTGTTTCGTCAGTCGACTATCCTATTATAACACGACTCCCTTTAATAGAATTCCATTTAATATTTTATTTGAGATACACTTAATAAATAAGAATTCGATTTGGTAACTATTCTAGATATATTTATTAATAAATTGACGACTATTCTTGTGTTTTTCTGTATGCTGGGTGAAAGAACCACCGTGTATTTGATTATCTTTGACAATATTTCTTAATATGCAGAAATGTTCTAATTTGTATAAAACATTTTTTTAACTAAGAAACAGACAACAAAACTATATCAATACTGTATACCTATACACCAAGTATACCTACATATAATATATATTTTCAACATTAGCTTATCTGAATCGTTCTTTTCCGCATTTAACTAAACATAATACAATCAAGTACATAAAATGACAGATAGAAATCTTTTTTTCAACGAATTGTTCTGTATGTATCTATTGTTGTCTCCCTATAATAACAGCTTTAATACAAGCATGTTATGTAATGACATTTTAATTTTAATATTAATTACGGTTAATTTTTATAACGAACTTTTTATGTTAATTAATTACAAATAAATTGTATAAAATAGAGACTGTCGCGTAAGAGACGGATAAAAAAAAAAAAATATCAAATCTAATGGCCGTTTTAATCTATTATCGGGAAAAAGTATAATTTATTATCTTAAATAGCATTGAAATAAAAACAGAACATTATTAAATGATTACAAAAATATATACGTACGCATACAATTGGACTCTCATCACGCAAAACACGAAGGGGGCTGCTCGGTTGATTGATACAATTTCGCGTCAATTAAACTGTGAGTGGGCCGTCACAATTATCCTTATTGGTTCCTCATTCCTACTATTGACGTACAACCGACACTGTAACGAACAACAATTAATATATTGGTCGCATGTGGGTGACGTTATATTATCCGGTCAGTTGCTACGGGAACTTATGGCTATTGTTAACAAAAATGAACATATAAAATCTCCAAATCGAAGAGTATCTTAAAAGAAAAATACTCATTCTCTTCTGAATTTTGTCAATCAGAATGTAAAATAATACTTATTTAGATACCATAGACCATACGTAGAAATATAATAGTATTATTTTATTAAACCATTTATAATAATAAAGTTAGCACTCTCCTCTTTTTGAAGAATAGATTAAAGTATTGTTAAGAACTTAAAACTTATCTATTTCATCCTATAGCCTGTGAAGATGAAGAGATTCCTATGTCACGTCGACAACGTACTCCACTTCTGTGCCGCACATACTGGCTCGCCCACACTGTGGCCACCGACCTCGCCTTCGTCATCACACTCATCTACTGGACATTGGTGCACGACCCAAGTCTGTATACACATTTCTCTTGTATACCTTAAATAAAGTGTACCTTAAATGAAGCCCTGTATTAAAAATTAAATTAGAGCTTGAAAAATTTATCTCTCCATAGAATACGTAACCAAGATTTTAAAATTGTTTCCATTTTGCAATTCTAGGAATCCATGACATCAATACCCTCAACCTACTAGTCCACGGGGGCAATTCCATATTAATGTTGGTAGAACTGATGGTAACAGCGCATCCCGTACGAGCTGCTCACGCGGTTTTCGGCGCAGGTGCAGGGCTTACATATGGAGTGTTCAGCGCCTTTTTACTGGTCGGTTGGCGGCACTGATCGTATTGGGCTACCGGCTATTTACCCGGCACTGGATTGGAATAAACCAGGTATAAAAGTCCACTATAGATACTCATTATTTATCCTGTTTCCTGCCAGTAACATACAAAGTTTCGAAAGATATTTAACCTAGAACCTAACCTTGACTGTTTGAGGATAATTTTAAATTCTTTTATTTTTTCATCCGTTTATTTGTTTTGAATATTTTTATTAACATATCGAGATGTTTCCTTCCTGGAGATCCTTCAATCAATCTTACTGACGGACAACGCCTGTTATAAGAACAAGATGATTAAATTTTAATTTTATGATCTTTTTTATATTGGTTACCTTATTTTTATTTCAGTTACAAGTTCTTATATTTCTTTTTCTACAAAAATTATTAGCAGAAAGTCGTTACTACATTTTATTATAAAGAATACAATACAATTGAGTTACTCAAATAACCAGCACACGTGTTTCCGTGCATGGAAATGCATATGATATCCTTAGTAGGCATTTTTTTTTACAAAACAAACTTCTGCAACGTGATAGTTTTATTTATGTAAACAATATAAAATAACAAACAACCGAAACATATTTATAATTCACAGAAAGCATACTAAATAACTTGATGGGATTGTGTATATATAAAAAAATGTCTTTTTTAGTTTCCACTTGACTGTAGCTATTAGCTCTATTGGTTTGACAACGTAATTGGAAAAGGATAGCACATAAAATTTAACCATAAGCTCTATATCATAATATCTATATCATAAGACAAGTTGAAGACATTTTTCCACTAAAATTCCTCTCAATTCCGACTATCTCTACAAGATGACGACGATTTGTAGAGTAAATAGTTCTTGATTTTTTTTTCCAGGTTCAGCTCTGGGTTTCGTTGCTCTGTGCGCGGTGGTGATGATGTTCGCTCATGGTGCTGCCACATGCGTTTCATGCTTGCGTGTCAAGATTGCTTCTAGAATCATGCCCGCCAGAGCCGACCGACTCGCTTTACCGACCCACTGATCAGACAAGAGTTACAAGTGCAAGTGAGTACCCGCCCTTATGTGGACAAAGTGACTTATTTATCAGATTTATGTAAAGTTATGTGTACTCGGCTTTATATAAAAACGCATGTCATTGCTATGAATTGGGGATGGACATGAAATGAGTAAATCACTAGTGAGATTCAGCCATATTGTTTGATTTAATGTCTTAGACACTTTAGAATTGTAAAATTAAATTTAAATTGTTCCCTATTTATGTACCAATCAGGGAATTCACTCAGGAATAAATGTTATTTGTATAGAATAATTATTCGCATGAATTTAGTAACATAAACTATAATTTCTCAGTATTATTTTTTAATGATATATAAAAAAAATGTATTCCAAAGTTTAAACCTGTTAAAACTTTTCTATTTAATTACTACATAAATTATATATGCTATACAATTTGGCTAATAAATATTTTTAAAGTAATAAATTAATATTACGAAATAAATTTTCAAATCCTCTTTATAAGCATAATAATATTTAGTCAAAACTTATGCATGCTTTCAATAGTTTGTAAGTTAAAATAAAACATAAACATTATATGTGTTTGTGGATATTTTGAAAAATCTTTATGTCGGATTTATTTTTTATCATTAATCCTTTGCTTATCTGTCTTTAAATTTTAAATATAGACTCTTATACATAATTAAGTCCTGAATGATATATCTTAATTATTAATGTATAGTTCTACATAAAAAGAAGTAGTAATATGTCTCATACATTTATTGCTCGACACATTATGTTATTTAACTAGACTATAAGTTTCAGAACACCTCCTCACCAAACCAAAGAATATACTATATGTATCTCACAGAAAGCTAACAAGCATTAATATATTTCACTTTCACTTTACATCAAGTCTACACTTTACCTCAACATTTTCACCAACCTGTAACCTTTGCCTTATCTCCAGCATCATTAAAGTATTTAAGTATAACAGCATATTTATAAGAACATAAAACACACATAAAGAACATAAAAAAGTGAGTAGATATAACATACTATTCATCGCTTCCACGTTTAATGATATCGGTGAATAATAATTGCCATCAATTTGTGTAGATTAACCATATAAAATAATTAAGTAATACAAAAATTTCATTGAAATAAACTCACGGCAAGGTCAAAGAGACGAAAAAAATTTCGGTAATAAGCTTTTGAGTCCCTATAAGATTAATTGATTTTCTAACAAAAAATGTTTCATTGAAGAAGCAAAAAGATATTGTGAATATATGTTGATTATTATCAATTAATTTTAATAATTCGATTATAATTTGAATAATGCTGATATTATTATGTAACAAGGATGATTTTAATATATAAATGCAACTAATAAAATATGATTGTATTATGTACTTTCTTCTCTGTTCTTATTATGATAGATTTAACATATTAGAATATACTTGCATTGTTATCATTACCTATATACTACATATATTTTGCCATTTAATTTTTACTATGTTAACAATCAAATGAAACATTATTGTAATGTAAAATGTTAAAATAACGTAATATTGATATAAAAGCATTTAATATTCTATAATGCATTTACTTACTGATAATAATTATAAAAATAGTAAAAAATATCAACTTAAAGATTGTTTCTGTGTTAAAAATTCTTCAACTAGAAGTTAAGTAATTAGTATAAGTTGTAACTATGTAACTATGTGTTAATCTAGCAGGCTTTATTATATTTTAATATTTTTTCAATATTTGTTTTAAATAACTATGTATTTTTAAATCTGTCTTCAAATTTAATAGCAATTCTATTATTATGATCTACGTTTTATCTCTATATTGCGTTCAAATTTATTAGTAAATTTCTTAATAAACCCAAAATAATTGTGAGCAATATACTTTAGTATACTATTTTACTTTTGGTATTAAATATATTTATATATGAAAATGTATTAATCGTAGATATTTATATATTATTTTAAATTAAATCGGAGAATGTCAATGGCGTAAACAAAATAGCAATATACGTACATATGAGTATTGCTTTTTTAAAATATTTGCGAAAATATTTGTGTATTTCATTAATAAATATACAAAATGTATGTAGATGTTTGTATGTTTAATAAGACGTGTTAATTTCGTCAGTTTATTGTGATTTTTAGTATAGTAATATCGTTCCTAGCCTGAATATAAATATTTAGGCAAAACTCTGTGATGGGATCATAGTATTAAAACTTCTTGTAAACTAAGAATAAAAGCAATACTTTTTGAATGAATGATGATTATACCTAAAGGTAAATTGTAATAGGTACAAAGTATTAGATTTAATAAATGCACTCCTACCTATATTAATAATTATATGTGATTATGATTATTTGTAATAGAATATGTTGTTTTATTTCATATACCCTTTTCCATTATTTGCGCTCTCTTCTTCTTTCTTTGTACTTTAAACCAATTTGAATAATATCAACGTGATAATTACTTATGCATTCAAATCATAATGGTAGAAGAAAATCAGATTCTTTTATATGAATTTTCCCCACAATTAGCTCTGCTTAGTAAGAAATCTCTGAATATACTTAGGCGATTTTGTTTTTGTAAATTGATTACACAGTTGATTATTGACTACCATACAACGAAATAGACTATAAGGAAGGACCGAAAGAAGTGATATTTTATAGTATTGCTGTCTGTCAAATGTAAGTCAAATGTAATTGCTCATCGCATTCATAAGGCGTTGAAGCAAAATTAAAGATTTTCAAGCATTACTAAAATTTGTCTAGCTTTCCTGAAACCACAGCAACACTTTCTTTTATTAATATGTATTAAGATATAAGTAGACAAAGTCATATTAAATGTATTAAATCCATTTCAACAAAATTCAAGTCGCTAACATAATAGTCTGCTTGAAAATAACATAATTTTAATGTAAGAGTTTTAAAATAAACTCGTCAAGATTTTGATAGACAACCTAACTTTTACTTTTGTTTACCTATTTATGATGATCAATGTAAAATATAATCTGGATCTGGTTATTGGATTGGTAAAGCTTCATTTTCAGCTTCTATTTCATGAGAATTGTGTCAAATACCCCATATCTGCCACATCAGTTAACTAGATAGTTAGGTAATACGTCCTACCTATAATACATAAATAAAACAGATTTTTTTTTACAGAAAATTGATTATGAACACTTTATTGGTAGATTTTTAAAAGCTTTTAGTAGGCGAGAGAAAACTAAATAAAAGCCTTATCTTCCCCTCCTACTCTATTACTAACTATATTTTTTACTTAGGACTGGTAGAAACGAATTAAATACGACAGGCGCAACAGGTTTTGCTGCGCTTACTGTAGAGTGCTTCTTCAGTTACGCAGCTGAAAAATACGGCTATATGAGTTTAGTTAAAGTTTATGAATGGACGCGAAACAAAAATTGACATCAAATAATCCTGTGAACGACAACAAAATAAAAACGAAATTTTATACAGTAAAATGGGAATTAGCAGCTTTTTCGGCTCAATGGTTCACATTGATATGATAAAAACCAAAATTCGAAACATATATAAAAAAAGCTTTTATGCTCGAATGCATTGATTTAAAAAAGTGATTTTTTAATTCAAGTGACTTATAACAATTAATAATCTCACACGTATCATTTTAATGAATTAATGATTTTTGATATTTTCTGGACTTTAAAATTTCATAAAGTAAACTTAATCATATCCGAAAATTATTTATTATAAAGTAAATTATTAATTATAATCCAGCAATATTCATATTATTTATATCTTGATTTAAACAACTTTAAGATTTTCTTTAGTTACGCCCTATAAATGAATGTTGTTTTATTCTAAACATTATCGTCTATAAACAAATATAATTATATTGTCGCAAAGCTGTTCACACGAAAGTTATTTAGTAATACTGTTCTCCATAGATAAACATCGTGCAACCTCTGTTACTTCTATTGTTATTAAAAATGCTTATTACAAAAACCAAATA